AAATATAAATAAATGAATTATTCAAAAATCAAACCAACGCAAAATATTAGTGCAATGTCTATTTATCCTTCATATATAACAATAAACATTTCGATCTGAAGATTAAATCATCTTCAGTATCAGAAAAATTATAAAGTATCTATCTTCACTCTTACCTTATTTAATACCATATAAATTTATTATGCATGACTAGCCTAAGGACTAGCTCTAACATAGCAAGAATTATTGTAAAGAAATTGACGATCTTATTGTTTTCACAAAAATTGGGACTTGATATGAGACATTAAGATATCAAATTCGATCATTTTATGGAAAAATTTGGACTGATACCACAAGATAGATTAATCTAATCTAAAGTCGAAATATTTATCGTTATATTATCGTTATATATGAAAAGTAAATAGATTATTGCACTATATATCTTGCGTTGGCTTTTATGATTCTTGAATAATTATTTTTATTTGATCGGAAAGCCGCTATTATATAGAATTTAATATAAATAAATATTTCATCATATTTGTAATAAATGTTTATGATCTAATACAATCTAAGATCAGAAAAATATTTACAGATTATTTAAAATAAGTTTTATATATAGAGCGATAAGTATTTTTGTACGCATCTTCAGCGTGAGATAATTTTATTACTGGGTGATTTATCTCTTAATAGACAAATATTTTTAAAAATATTCTCGAAACCATTACACTTTTGTCTAAAATGTCTTCCGTATGTCTTTCATATTTTTCGAAATATTTGTCTGTTAAAATTAAAACAAAGAGAGAAGTGCGTATTACTGAAATGACGCCATAATACATTGTCTCAATTAAGTGAGCATTTATTTATTATTATTTATTATATTCCAATAATAAAACAACACACAATATTTAGAAAAATTTACAAATATGCAACATATACAAATATTTAAAAATATTTACGTATTATAGTGTCACTTCAGTAACATGCACTTCTCTTTTTATTTTAATCTTAACAGATAAATATTTCACAAAAAAAAGGAAAACATTTTAAATAAAAGTTTCGAGGAAGATATTTTTCAAAATATTTGTCTGTTAAGAAATAAAGATGAATTATTCAATATAAAATTATATCTCTATGCTGAATATGGAGAACGTACAAACTTATTTTCATCGCTCTATATTTCCATCGTGTTTACGGAACGAATAGTAAACAGCAATAATGGCATCATACACATACCTTGTCGAGATCTATTTCATCTTGAGCATTGAGATCTGGACAATTGAAGATGTTGTTCGTATCGATGGCATTATCGCCCCTAGTCAAACCGGCGAATACCAACACCAACACGCACCACTTCATCGTTAGACCCCGAACTAATTAAATGCGAACCTTACAAGACCCAATTACGACAGGGCAATTAATACAGCCACTTGCGCGCGTCAGATCTCTCAAGCTTTTATACCGTTCTCGTACGTCTTTACTTACGCGCGCGTATGTATCGTGCCCTTTTACGCGAATGCTCAGTTACATCTGTTTTATCTGCCGTTATCAATGTAATGTACTTTAAAGGAGATTTCTGCTCTTCACTTTCACATCTTTCACCATCACCCCCTTAAGTGATATTTCAAAGAGATTCCAAATATTCTTTTCCCTCTCACGTTGTATTTAAGTTTCTTTTTATTGAAACAGCAAAACGCTTCTTCGCGAAAGCATAGCGATATAACCAAGTTGACCAAGTGACTCGCGCGACACCTCTCTCTCTTTCTCTCCCTCACTCGCCTTATCACTATTACACTATTTGCCCGTCCCGTTCTCGATGCCGAAGCGATTTAACTTAATATCCAGCGCGCCTGTAGGCCGCCCCGCTTTTGACCCACAATGATCGAAGCTCCTTCAGCGCATCATGCCCGATCTCTCGCGAGCGCCTCCACTTCTACGCACTTCAGTTCTCTTCAGATTCGTCCGCGGTTCGCAGCGAAAATCGGAGTACTACGCGTGGAAAAACGCGTCACCGAAAAACTTTACGAGCGTCACTTCTTCCAGATGTCCATCTTAAATCGACCAAGTATTTCTCGAGTGGAAGATAAAAATTGTTCTTTTTACTCGAGAAAACTGTAAAGCGTGTTGTATCACTTCACTAAGAATCGAGCGACGCGACGAACCGTCGCCGTTGACACGTAGCGATAACTTTGAAATCCTACGAACGATCCTCGCGCGGAGCTCCTTCCGTGGATGTTTTCGGAAAAAGGACAATTTTTCCGAAGGATGTTCCTCTCACTGGTATAGTAAAATCCCCAATAATCAGACAGGACGTTGTCGCTGACGGATTTTCGGAGATAATTCCTGAGATACGGACAGAAATACCGTGGCGATGTAATCGAGAGAAACTCGAAGGCGAGCTTCGTAATTCCGCGCGGAATGAGGTTCAGTTTCTCTCCCTCTCCGATCCGTTGGTCGGATTGCTGTACCGTCGTTTTCAATTTCCGTTTTCGCCCTCCCCTCTCTCGTGGCTGCGAAAGCGAGCGGGCTTTCTCGGACAGTCGCAATATCACAAGCGTATTCCACCGAACGATAGACGGATAAATGGATGAGACCTATAGATATCGTACTACTCGTTCCCGTTCGCGTATGCGTACATGATCGCGTAACACGATTCGCAACACGTCGCCGATATAGTCGCGATCTCCGCAGGGAGGGATGTGTACGCGACGAAGTCGGAGGGCACTCTGACGTTCCAGCTGCTCTGTGCTGCGCTGGTCCTCGTTCGGCATAGCACGGCACGCCACGTCCGTCCTTCCTCCGTCGCGACGCCAGAATGGAGCGAGAGAGAAGGAGAGAGAGAGAGAGAAAGGGGGAGGGGGAGGGGGGGAGGAGAGGGAAAACGGCGAATTACGACGGTGGGCGGAAAAGCGACGGAGGAGATCGCGAGGGAATCTGAAAACGGAGACAATATGGGATAGCCGATGGGATTGTTACTCCCTGCTGTTCGCTATGGGACCATAGTCATCTCATGGTACCTAGTATTATGTGATAAAGATGTTGCAAATTACGAGATACAAACGGGAAGGTGCAAACGCGAGTGGAATAGAAACCTGCGAACCTTTTGAAACTTTACTGATACGCCCTATTTGCGCTACGGAAAGAATTTGAATTCTCTCTTTGAAAGAAACAATTAATCGCCGTTTTGATCTTAAAGTTTTTAGAGTTTATAGTAAAGTTTGCAGTTTTTAAAAATATAATTATTTATATTTTATAAGTGAAAATTATATTTAAAAATAGGGATTATCTTCTATAGGGTAATATTCTACTTTTTAAACATAAAAATACGAAAAATGCGAGTCTTTTTAAACGAAAAGAATATTATTTCTGTTTCCAATGTTTTCTCCGTGCTAAAGAGAAATAATTTTAACTCAAACGATCTTATGACGTATACAATCCGTAAACATAGAGATAAGTGAAACACTTTTCTTTTTGAGAGAATTTCTTCTTTTTCTCACGGATTTACTTCTTAAGAAATAGATAATTCACCACACGAACGATTCTCTCGTAGCTGTTGAGGATAAAGCGACAAATTATGAGAAATTGACACTAAATTTTTAAATACATTTAATATGTTTAATACGTTTCCTTACATAATTCTAATTTTTATATGCATACAATTTCATAATTCTTCATATGCTTACATAATGCTAATTTTTATATATTTATATCATTCTTTATTCGGCAAATGTACAGATATATGGGAAAGGAAAAAGATTACATGTGAAAAGAAAATTTCACGAATATTTCGAGCTTTACAGTTTCCTTGAAAACTTCTCCTTGAAACTTCCTCTTTCGAGTTTCCACAATACCATCGGGATCATATCGACCGCACCAAATATCTTACACCCCAAATCGTACTCATAGAGCCACAATAGCCGAATCGGGAATTTCTGCTGGGCAAGATAGGGCTTTGAATTGACCGACATCTTAATGTTTCACGTCTTATTACGCGTTATCGTTCTGAAAAGTAGAAGAGCAGAGAACCATTATTGCCGCGATTGAAAATTACGCGGTGATATTAATTTTGGAAAAAGTATCTAAGACGCAGTCATGACTTTCACACCTCTGAAATATACAATAACGAGAAAAAGATTAATTCAAAACCAAGTTTTGTTGTAGAAAAGAAACAATTTTTCACAAAAAGATCGAATTAAAATGATGCCTAGAAAAATCGACTTTCATGGAAAAATCAGTTTGAGATTTTTTTTTTTTTTAGGAGGAGTCGATCTTTTTAGAGGATTATAACAATCTTTATGAAGCTGTGATAAAATAGAAATCGATCGACTTGCAAACCTTTTGAAATTACTTTTTGAAAATACGTTCAATTTTTGTGCTGCTGAAAGAATTTGAGTTCTTTCTAAAAAAAAACTAATCATTTTATTTTATCTTAAAGAAACTGTGTCAGTCATTTTATATATTCTTTCCGTATATACATATTTATCTTCCTTTATTTATTTGCATACTTTATCTTTAAAGTGCATGGTTGTGATTTTGCAAGATTCCAGAAAGATTTTTTGTTCCCGAAAAAAGTCTTTCGCATTTACGCTTTTGCATTTATATTCTTTTGCTTAGACACGCAAATATTTCTCTTTGTAATTGTAAACCTTCTCACTTCTCTTTTATATAAATGAATGAATAATCTCTTGTAATTAATACATGTCTAATTGCGAAATCTAAGAGTGACAAGAAGTATCTCAAGGACAAAGTTGTTGTAATCGTTAAACCGACAATTTCATGGTTTGCAGAGCACAAAATGCAGCGAGATGAAAAACGCGGGAAAACGCTGGATCCGCAAAGAGATGTGTGAGCAATAATAGAGAAATGAGAGAGGAAGAGAGCATTGTACCAAAAACGGCAAAGAGGAGGAATAAGGATAGAGCTCGTGAAGCTCTGCAGACAAGACGATAAGACATAAGATAAACGAGGAACGGGACGCGGGGAATGGACGGCCGGAGCTGTGTCCATCGCCATCATGGTGACCGCATCGCTACAATGAGAGTTTAATTCGTTCATTGAAACCGCCGTATGGCACAGTCCGCGTGCTGCCATCGTTGATAGAGTAGCAACGACGAGATCGTGAGCACCCGACTCTGCGAGCCAAGATGTCTGGAACGAGGCAGAAGTGCTATGTATGCCACGAGTAGCGGTAAAGTATCTGAAGACAGATATATGTCTCTTCCCAAGTTTTCTCACTGACGAACTAGACATGACGGGAGGTCATGGAGATCATGGAGTCTCGTTTTTGATCTCCTTTTTTAAAAATATTTACAGCAAAATGTTACATATATTTTTAATATTTTTAAAATGCTCACTCACAATTTTAATATTCTAAAAATATTTCTTAATTTAAAAATTCCTAGATGTAAAAAATATAGATTTTATTCCTTTTTTTTTATTAATATGATTTTAAATGAAAATGTTTCATGAATCATTTAAATAATACTTTTTTACATAATAATTTAAATACTTTAAATAATTTAAATAATTTAAATTTAATATTTTTTATTACATTTTTTTATATTTGATCGTAAAAAAATTTCACTTGAGATAAATTAACGGCCTCATTGACAAATTTCTGGATCTGCTAATGCTTGTTCTCCACACACATTTGGGTATTACAAGTAAAATATCTTTCACGTCACTTAAGAGAGTAAAGCATGTTTACACACATGAAGTTTATTTATGTTTAATATTTCCATGAACATAGACCAGGCCTGTCTAATTTAAGCTCCGGAGCCAAAACACAAAGTCATGACGCAAAAAAATTCAATGTAGGTAAAATTTCGGCGACTGTAAAGTATTGATACGCATCTAAGTGACTTATTAACACTTTATAGTTCTTAAAATCTTACTCACATTGAATTTTTTTTACGTCGATAGCTTTGCATTTTGGATGGGAGTTCAAATTGGACAGGCTTAACATAAACTCTCTTAGGAAATGTTGAAGACATCACGTTACTGCGAGATCTAATTGAGTTTTTTGCGTAGCACGAAATAATAATACACTTTGTATTAATGTATTAATAAGTTTATTTTGCATTTCGTAAAGATATTAATTACATGCGTGATATAATTTAAATGTAACATGTCACGTGAGCCAAAATACTTGTTAGAAAGACGCTTGTAGATGGAGAAAGCAAAATAATAGTGCTTCTTGTAATATTTACTATATTTTTTCAAAATTAATTTTCAATTTCAAAATTAATTTACATTTTCAAAATTAATCTGCTCTTTTTTCTCTTGTTTTTTAAAATCATGTTAAATATTGTAGAAGTCTTTCTACTTTTTTCTAGTTATGTCAAATGTCAGTTAATTTC